ATATATATATGAAAAAACCCAAGGGCTAATTTATTAAAAACAGAAAAGATACAGAGAGGTTGTATGAGAGAGCTTAAACGAAATCTCAACTCACACAATACAACACACACAAAACCCAAATAAAACAAATATACATAAAGATAAAAAACCAAAAAACCACCAAAGGGCATAAAAGTGCTAAGGACGTGCCACTTTAGTCCTCCTTCTGTCTCTAGTTATTGGAATTGAGTCTGCTAACAAATTAGTAAGGTGAGTGTCATTGCCCGAAGTAACCAAAGTATCATCTATCAGATTCCTGAGCTTAAGTAGGTCTCCATTCTTCTTCTTCGTTCTCGATGTGTATACCTGTCATTCCTCATTCGATGATTGACTCATTTGATCAATATATTATTCCAAAGTTGGATGGACAGGTGTAGACTGTTGCACAACATGATCCCCATGATCCTAAGTAACAGTTACAACTTGCTTGACCTAATGAGGCGGTAGTGAAACAATAGAAGTATTGCAACTTGTAATAACAGTGATATGTTCTAGAGCAAGTGAGGTCTGAAGAATATCCTTCTCACCCATGATAGGAGGTTCCAGAGACAGCTGAATGGTTGTAATATTGCCTACGAGAATAGTGACGTTTTCAGTGACATTCTTTTGATGATCAATATTGTCAATAACTTGAAGTTGATCAGGAGGAGATGAAATCACTGTCTCTGGCGGAGCACTGTGCTTTTTTGGTCTGAGGTGTGGATGTAGATGGTGGGATTGAGAACTATAGTGGTCGAACATACGGCAGTTTGAACAATATGAAGGAAAATGCTCAATCACTACCTTTTGACAATACCCATGATGCTGTGTGCCCAACCAAATTTTGTCAGAAGCAAATGAAGTGATGTCTCTTTCAACAAGTATTATGACTTCTGATGGACGAGAAAGATTAAAAGTATGAATGTCCATTTTGAGTGACTTACCATAAGCTGAGGCAATAGCGTACAAAACTTTTTGAGTAAAATAATGAAATTTCAGACGAGGGAGGCAAATCCAAACCGAAATGATCGGAGGTTCTGTTTGAGGGTCAAAATCCATAGATCATTTGAGAATCTTCATTGCTCTGTTATCAATCCATATTATCCTTCTAGCAAATAAACGCGTGTAATTCTCTTCATTATTAATTTGTATGAGAATGTGTCTTCCATATAATAGTCCAATTTTCCACTCCTTAACCAGATGCATAAGCTCAAATTCCTTACGAATCAGCTCCATTTTTGGATGACCATACAAAAATTTTCCAACTAAATTTAGTCGACAAGAGAATGCAAGTTGAATGCCTTCAGCTTCTGTAAAAAATATGGCAGGTTTCCAATTCTTCATTTCAGGTTTCTTAATATCCTCCTCCCACTCAAGAGCACGATTTAGGTGTAACTGAGGCGGCATTGACACCAGCAAGAGCACCAGCACACGATCTGTCCGAAGCCATCCCCAATAGAAGGAGGTGTGGCGTTAAGAACAGTGAAGAAAGCAATGAAGAGCAAAGTCAGAATCCAGAAAGTCCAGGGAACAGGAGCGAAAACCCCGCAAATTCAACAGACGTAAGAAGCAGCACACCCAAATCGCAACGACGCAGAAGAGGATGACGCCCCTGCGAAACAACAGAGAAGCAGACGACGTCCCCACAATCACATCCAGCAGAGCGCAGAAGCGGAGACGACGAAGGAGACACGACGCAGAGAGCAGCGACTCGGCAAATACAAAGCGGCAGACGACGCGAGAAGCCGGTGAGGGAGGGAATGCACTCAGAAGAGGAAGAGGGACATATATGAGGTGGGGCAGATCCAGAAGCGTTTTTACTTGAAAGTTTTAAATTCGGATGCAACTTATAACATTGAGAAAGATAATGTCCAAATATACGGCAGTGGGTACATATATATATATATATATATATATATGTATATATATAAGTTTATTATTTAAACATTAAACTTAGATGCATTTGATTCAAGCACTAGAGAAAAATTAGGGTCTTAATTCTAAAAATAATTTTGAGTAAGTTATTAATATTATTTTAATATTAACTTTGATTATAATAATTAAACTTAAGTTTAAAGTATTGAAACTATAATTAAAATAGTGCAATACAGAAATAATTTATAATTAAATTAAAACATAATTAAGTAAGCGACGATTGAATACTTTATATTTTATGGATGATAATTTGATAAAAGTAATACAAATTATAACAAACACGCCAGCTACCTAGAGACAAGTACTCATATTTTTAATCTATAGTAATAATTCGTTTTTTCTCAACTATTTTGCAGTTAATGCACTTGCATATGCTTTATTTTGATTGAGATTTTTTTTTATTATCGATCATATTGTTATGAATGTTTGTAGTTCTTTACTCTCATGCATTTGGTGCATGATTTATATAATATGCTGGATTGCATGCTATGAATACAAGAATGATATTTTTATGTTGATTGCTTGTATGTGCCTGACTGATTATGATGGAGTCACCACTTAATGTTACTAATGAAAGATTAGGTGCATGATTTATATAGTATGCTGGATTGCATGCGATGAATACAAGAATAATATTTTTATGTTGACTGTTTGTATGTGCCTGACTGATTATAATGGAGTCACCACTTAATGTTACTAATGAAAGATTACTAAGATACTCGTGCACGTATATGAAAAATGATATCAATATTGATGTGTCTTAATACAATTGTTAGATGATGCTTATATGATGATTGTACATATATATAATGATATTGATATAATTAAATTCTTTAAATAACATCAAGTTTTTATTGATTTAAATAAAAGTTAGATTGACATACATTTTACTTCATTTTCTCTTTTATTATATTGGTTTATAATTATGAGTATTCACCGACATTGTTTAAATTACTGTTGTTTTGAATTAATTTTTCAGGTTTAATTAGGTAATTTAAAAGATGAGTGATAAAAGAGAGAACATATATAGAAGACAATTTCATTTATTAATAACAAAGTAATTTTAAATATATTAATTTAATTTATTTTGATAAGTGACACTTTCATCTTTTAAATTGTATATAAATATAGGAAATTTATTAGTCATCATCCGACTTTCTCTTCTCACCTTGATTAATTCCAAGTCGTAGGCTGGGTCCTGATAACAATTGTTTCTTCAAACTGCTGCAGCTGCCAAATATAACCTAAGAAGCCTAACAAACTTGTGATTAAGAGAAGTTTGTTTGTTTGTTTTTTATATATAAAATTTATATTTTGGGCCAAAGTTAAAAAAAAAAAAAAACAACCAAATAACAAAGTTAAAAAAAAAAAACAACCAAATATAATAAAGTGTTATATACTAGAGAAACATATAAAGATTGGTTTATGAGGTGCCAAAGAAGTTTCAACACCAATTCAATTGCAAGATGATAGAAAGACATTAGATGAATTGATGAATCTTGTATTGCATAGTCAGTGTCGGGTTGTACTATTGTAGTATGCATAAAGAGAAGATACATACTGTAATTGTACAAATTGTTAATTGGCTTGCAATATATATGCTTCGGAGATCCCTTGCACTTGTTTAATTTAAGTTTGATGACATTACACATTGTTAATCCGTGTAAGCTTGTAGATCTCGAATTAAAGACAAATCATCACACAAAGTATGGGCTTTAGTGGCATTTACGTGCATACCACCCAATTCCTATGTATTTACATATCTAACACCTAAACTTTACATTTGCATTTATACAACCTAAATCTTTCATATCACTACCTCCTGGTTAAGAAAAAAAAAAATGAAATGAGATTAGGCTTAAATGAACATCAATTAATTAGGAAAATCATGTTTACAATATATAATTTGTCCATAGGGACAATCAAGGTAAAAATTTGAAAATGATGTTAAAAAATTAAGTGGAATTTTTATTTAAATTAACTAAGAAATTAGTCACCTCTAAGACACTTAGAAGTTCTACACATTAATTTATTTGAAGGGATTAATGCAATCAATCTTGGTGAGGGGCAATAATTTCATTGTGGTTGACGAACCGATAAATTTTATATTGGGTGAATGAGATGGTGACCGGGCAGTTGGATATCTCCTCATACACTAAAAGATCGCATTCGCACAACTCACCGGCCAAAATAAATAAATAAATAATTGATTTTTTTTAGTTTAGCTTAATATATGATAATTCATAATGATTATCTTTCATCTAGTATGAATTATGAATTTAAACTTAGTTGAAGCCGAAAAGAAATTTAATAATCATCATAAAACTTCAGGTGGCGATGGTGCCGTCAGTGTAATGCCACAACTTAGTTTTTTAGGTTTGGCAAAATTGTGTTTTATATGCTCCCTCAAAAAATTGCAGCTTAAACCGTATTTTCCCATTAGACTTGGCTATCTGCTGTTAATGCTAGAAAACTGAGGTTATTTTTTTTTTTTTTTGTAATAGCCACCACAATTTTTTGAACTTCTCATTCGGGAGTTTCACAACTGCTCCTTCAAACAGCTACAACTGCCCCCAATAGATCCTTGGTTGAACCCAAATCACAAATATTGTGTCCACTCAATCTTGCCTTGTTCAATGCAAATTAAATAAATAAATAACAATAATAATTGTTATTGGCATTATTATAGAAAAAAGATGAATAAAGTTATGGGGCAATTGCATACAAACCACCCGAAACATGCTATGTACAAATCAACCGCCCTCTTTCATCCTTTTTCAAGTTCTCACTCAAATATCAAAGTTCATGATAAAAACCCAACTCATATTTTTCATTTTTATCAAATTCTTAATGATTAGATCGTGGTATGCATAAACAGTAGTTCAAAAAAATCTCCAGCGTGATTAATTTGTAAATATCAATGTTTTGGGCAGTCTGTACGTAATCATCCCAAAATATATTTATGAAAATCTTTACTGTTGAAAGACCAGCACGTAATAAGGGGGAATTTACCATGATCTGAATCTAAAACATGCAGATTACATAAATGAATAGAATCATTAACATTCAAAAAATATGAGGTAGCTAACATCTCTAATCAGACCTCAATATGCTAATTATTGTTGCTGGTCAAAACAATATCCTATCCTGATATATTTCCAGTGCCTGAATGACCTTTTCTATAAACAATTTGTGATGCAATCTGTACCTGCATTCAGCTAAACTTCTTAGACATTCAGTCATATAACAGAAAAACAAGCTTCAGGAAGTTCTTGGACATTCAGCTAAACTTCTTAGACATTCAGTCATATAACAGACAAACAAGCTTCAGGAAGTTCTTGAGAGATTATATATTTATGAAAAAAGGAAATTTACCCAAGTACCTACCACACAATTCTTATGCATTTATGAATGTAACACCTATAATTTGATATTTACATTTATAACACTTTGATGTCATGAACCTATGCATGACCTATGCATGAAAGATGCATGAAAAGCCGTGTTGTGGTAATTTTGATAATATTAAAATTAGACTGTTATGTATGTGAATATGAAAGTTGAGGTGTTGGATATGTAACAATGCCCTGAAGAAGAAAAGTGAGATTTCTCAACTCACATATCAGATTATGATGTATTTATGCTCAGTGAATTAAAGAGAAAAATCTTAATAATCTCATAAAAATAAGATTTGAATTTATACATGCCAATGCATCAAACTTGTTGAGAAAATTAGGGAGAAGAAAAAAGTAATCGACACAAATCCAAAAGAACACAGAGATTTAACGAGGTTCGGCAAAGATGCCTACGTCCTCGGGAGCAGAGCGGCGATTCTTTTCACTATTCAGAAAAAGGTTTACAGAAATCAGAGATTCAACTCTGTCAAAGACCTAAAATTACAAACAGGTATATTTATAATTCTAGAATAAACCCTACAGTGCAATATGTAATTACCAAATTACCCATGTACCGTATAGCGGGGCGTTGACCCAGCACCCCCAACCCACATAACGTAACTTCCCGATTTAGACAGATTCTTCCGCTCCGCTCCGCTCCGCTCCGCTCCGCTCCGCTCCGCTTCGTTCCAACGTCTGTCCCTATATGGTATATGAGTCATACCATAACAAATCTCCACCTTGGCGAATATCCAACCCCTTAGGAGAAAAGATAACTGGGAGTTACACCTGCACCAATGTGGGTTGCGCCACCATGCTTCTGCTGCGCCCACGCTGATCTCAACCCACTAAATTCTAAGAGACACATCTCTTCAATTCCAAGAGACATCTCTTCATTCCAAAAGACTCCAAAGACTCCAAATTCTGGTATCAAATTCTGGTATTATGAGTCATACCTAACAATTATCCACCTTGGCGAATATCCAGTTCTTTAGGAGTAAATCCCCACCTTGCGAATATCAAAACTCTTAGGAGAAAAATCTCCACCTTGCGAATATCCAACCCCTTAGGAGAATATATGATGAAGTTTCTTATGCACAAATGTGGGTTGAAGCACTTTTCCTATTCGCGCCAGCACCTCGGCTAAACTGTTGTCCCGTGAGCAAAACCCTTCGCGAAATACCTCCGTGAAACCATTGTTCGCGAATAATCGCGCCTGCTCGCTCGCCAGCACCCTACCGAACTCCACGTGTCGCAACTCCTGCGACGAACTGGCAAACTTCGCTGGTTGAACACCACCAACCTCCTTTGTTCGCAAACGCTCTTGTTCGCGGTAACTGCACACAAACTCCTGTTCGCTAACTCCACCTCGCCTAATGCCGCGAAAGTTCATGAATTGTCGTGCCTCGAAGTTGCGACGCCGCCTCTACCGCGAACTCCTCGAAGCATAACTCGCCGAACTGCCGCAACCCTTTATCCGAACTGCTTCGCACCTGTTCGTTCCCGTGAGCCCGTCCGCCTTGCGAACAATTTTGATCCTGCAACAAAAACTTTTCTGCAAAAAATTCCTCTGCAAAAAACCTTGCTTAGACCACTTTTTTTTTTTTTTGAAAAAAATGAAAGAAAAAAAAATTGATTTTTTTTTTTTGAAATAAGGAAAATATTTATCCTTAATTAAAGAATTTTACTTAATTAAATTTCTTTAATTAAGTTTTCCTTAATTAAATGATTTTAACAAACATAATTTTTTAAATAAATTTCTTTCCAATTACTCCCCTCAGCAGCCGAAGGGATTCCTTTCTCAGCGGAGCCAAAAATGGGAAGCCGAAGGGATTCCTTTCCTTCTTTATGTCTCCGCCCGCTCCTTTCCTTGTCTGCCAGATCTCGCGCGGGAGCCTTCCTTTCCAGTCTGCGCGCGAAGCCTTCCGCCTCTGCTGCCTCCTCCTGCCCGATCGCAGCTTGTCGCCGAGCCGCCGAAGTCGAAATTTCCGCGATCCTCTCGCCTTTCGCTCCGCTTGCTCCCGCGATTCCTTCTCCCGAGCCGCTCGATCGCCCGAACAGCCTTCCACGAACTCCTGCAAAACGCCCGAACTTCGTTTTCCTGCACCCGATCCAGAGCCCTTCGCACGAAACCTCTGCGGCCGAGTTGTCCTTCGTACGAAGATCTAGAACCTGCGCCTGCGTCGTGCAAGATATGCCGCCCAAACTTCTTCTTGCGCCGATGAAAATTTTCTTCCTTGCCCTCGAACTTTGTCTCTGATACCACTTGTTGAGAAAATTAGGACGAAGAAAAGAAAATTCTAGAGAAATATCTCGTCTCCAAAAAAGGAGGCTTTCTTCAGCAAAGGCAAAATGGAAATTCCTTATCCGCTGCACCATAAAATTTGAAGAATCTTCCAAATTTACTTCTCCGCAGCCTCCAACAAAGAAGATCATAATTAAGTTTCCTTAATTTAATATTCTTCTTAATCAAACATTTCCTTTCCTGCATTCAAGCAAAATCAATCCAGGAGAAAATTCTAGAGAAATATCTCGTCTCCAAAAAAGGAGGCTTTCTTCAGCAAAGGCAAAATGGAAATTCCTTATCCGCTGCACCACAAAATTTGAAGAATCTTCCAAATTTACTTCTCCGCAGCCTCCAGCAAAGATCTATCCAGGAGAAAATTCTAGAGAAATATCTCGTCTCCAAAAAAGGAGGCTTTCTTCAGCAAAGGCAAAATGGAAATTCATTATCCGCTGCACCACAAAATTTGAAGAATCTTCCAAATTTACTTCTCCGCAGCCTCCAGCAAAGAAGATCTTAATTAAGTTTCCTTAATTTAATATTCTCCTTAATCAAATATTTCCTTTCTTGCGTTCAAGCAAAATCAATCCAGGAGAAAATTCTAGAGAAATATCTCGTCTCCAAAAAAGGAGGCTTTCTTCAGCAAAGGCAAAATGGAAATTCCTTATCCGCTGCACCACAAAATTTGAAGAATCTTCCAAATTTACTTCTCCGCAGCCTCCAGCAAAGAAGATCTTAATTAAGTTTCCTTAATTTAATATTCTCCTTAATCAAATATTTCCTTTCTTGCGTTCAAGCAAAATCAATCCAGGAGAAAATTCTAGAGAAATATCTCGTCTCCAAAAAAGGAGGCTTTCTTCAGCAAAGGCAACAAAATGAAAATTCCTTATTTTAAGCCTCCAAAGAAGGAATACTTTCCTTAATTAAGGCCTCCAAGAAAAGAATATTTCCGCACAAAGATTCCCTACTCTTCCTTCCTTGAAATCGGAACCCAGCAACACAACTTCCTTCTCCGCTTTTCTCCTCCACGCAACCCTTCTCCAAGATCGCGAACAAGCAGGATCCTCCAAGTGGCACGCGAATCGCGAACAAAACTTGGCGTTCCGTCTCCTGGTCCGCCTTCCTCACGCGAACCGCACCGCCTCTGTGTCGCGATCCCTCTGTTCGCGAACCCACGCGATCCGCCCGTTCGCAGACCGGAAAGGAGGCGAGCAATCTTCCGCGCCTCCGATCTTCTCGCAAGCAGCAATTCGCCGAACACCTGGAATTCATGAAATACAGCCACCAAATTTTCTTCATATCTTCTTTCTTCCCGCGCCGCCGAAAATTTTCTTCCCCTCGAACCTGTCTCTGATACCACTTGTTGAGAAAATTAGGACGAAAAAAAAAATAATCGACACAAATCCAAAAGAACACAGAGATTTAACGAGATTCGACAAAGATGCCTACGTCCTCGGGAGCAGAGCGGCGATTCCTTTCGCTATTCAAAAAAGGGTTTACAGAAATCAGGGATTCAACTCTCTCAAAGACCTAGAATTACAAACAGGTCTATTTATAATCTTAGAATAAACCTCACAGTACAATATGTAATTACCAAATTACCCATGTACCGTATAGCGGGGCGTTGACCCAGCACCACCAACCCACATAACGTAACTTCCCGATTTAGACAGATTCTTCTGCTTCGCTCCGCTCTGCTTCGTTCCAACTTCTCTCTATATGGTATATGAGCCATACCATAACAGAACTTTTTTTTTTTTTTTGATGTAATGAGTTGGGCAGAATAACATTACTATATTTTTAAGGAAGATTTATATACATAACACCTAAATTATGATATTTATATTTATAACACTTTAGTGTCATAAATCTATGCACACCACATTCAAAAGGTTAGTAATAGTGGTATTTTTGAGGTGATGATAAAGATTTGAGGGTTATGCATATAAATATGGAATTTTAAATGATAAAAATGTAAATAAATAAGAATTGCATATTATTTATGAAAATGCCCCCATTTTTAAATATGCAGGGTTGATAAATTAGCATTTACTCACCTGATAGCAGCCTCTCTGGTCCTTGTCAGTGTATTACACTCTAGGGAAGAGAGAGAAAAAAAACAAGATGGATCATAATAAATATGGTTTCTCTCGTAAGAAAAAGCATATTCAGAAAATTAAGCATTTATAGTCGAAAGGATTCATTAAATTTAAAAGCTTACATTAATTTTCAATTAAAGCCAGATAAATATTCAAATGACAAAGCTAAGAAAAAATTATTATTTTCTAAAACATATTTTTATCTGCAAAAATAAAATGAGGCTTTAAGGATCATATAGATTGAGATATATTAAAACAATTACATGCAAACCACCAAAATCCTATGTGCATAGACATCTAACACCAAAATTTTTTTACATTTATACCATCCAAATCTTTCAAATCAACAAAAAAATTATACCATTTTAATCAAGGATAGGTAAGGTGACATGCATGCAAAGATTAAAGTTTGGGTGTTAGATATGTAAATACATAAGAATTGAGTGGTAGTTATTTAATTTTCCTAGATTATATAGATACCTAGAATTTGTTGGTCTTCTTGAGAGGTGGTAGGCAACTGTGCTAACATTCGACGGCATTCTTCTTGCAGTTCCTTAGCAGCTCTTCTTTCAGCACTGGGGATTGGTGGCATATCTCCATCTGACCAACTCGGCAGAGTTCGAGCTGCTGCTATTACTGCTCCATCCACAAGGTCATCATCTTCACCTCCGGACAGAAGGCCTGAAGAAATCATTAGTGTAAGAGGGTTCTAATTAAGAAGTTAAGGTTTGCTAGGCAATATTTAAAGGTTTATTTGGGGCGATTGCAGTTTTTATAAAAAAAATTATAGAATTATAGTGAGAAAAACTAATTATTTTAAAAATTAGTATAGAAAGTAGGATATAAACTTTCTTCTAGTCATCACATTGTAAGAGAATTAAATGTAAAAAGCTCATTTTCACTATAAAAATTTTTTAGAAAACAGGAGAAATTTGTAGTGAAAAAGAAACATGACAGATGTTTGAAAAAGTAATATTGTGAAAAGAGACTCACTGTTGTGATAAAATTCTTCGGGTAGGCCAGAGATGTTGAATACTGATAAGAAGGAATGCCGGTGAAGCTGGGCGGTGCCGCGTTGCCGGAGAAATTTATAACATCACAAGGATTCTGCGGTGCAATGATGAAAATTTGATGTAATTGTGACAACATGAGTAGAACGAATTACATGACTGGATGATAATTCCATGAATAAGTATTTTATATATAAACACTTATATGCATACAAAAAACATTCATTTATTTATCTCATTTTATTTTAAAAAAATATTTCATTAAGTAAAATGTTTGTTTATTTTATTTTTATAAAATAAACCTTTCTTTTTTTTTTTTTTTGGGTATGTACATGCACACCACCCAATTCCCATGTATTTAGGTACCTAACACTTAAACTCCACTGTTTTACATTTTATATCACCCAAATATTTTATATCATATAAAAAATATCATTATTTTAACTTTTAAAAAGTGAAATATACCTGCGCATGCATAGGTAACGTGGCATAAATGTAAAAATTAAAGTTTAGATGTTAGATATGTAAACACATAGGATATAAGTATGTATGTAAAGCTTCCTTTTTTATTTAAAATTCTAGAACAAAATCAAAGTCTGTTAAATTTCTTAATACTGTATTTTACTAAGCAACCAAGCAATACTCTTTTATCACAGCTTGTTTAGAAAACAGTAAGGTATTGGAAAGCCTCTGAGTGTTGCAAGTTAAAATTAAGATGCGTCCTAAAACTTTGGATACAAATAAGGCATTGGAAAGCCTCGAGTGTTGCATGCTAAAATCATAACTTATCCTAAGAAAACTAGAATTAATGTTTAGATGCAAAAAAAAAGGAGTCACTACATAATAAATAAATAAAGAAAAATGCATCAAAAGTCCCAAAATTCTTTGTAGGGTATCATTTTAATCCGAGAGTGGAGACTAAATTGGCATTCTTATAGGCTCTGGGACTAAAATGGCATTCTGTTAATAGTCAAGGAATTATTTTGACACTTCACTAAACAAATAAATAAAACATGTGAGATAACATAATGCGAATGAAATAATATTGAAAATAGGTTCATTAGGTCGCCAAACATAGCATGATTAGGAATCATCTGAAACGGTTTTGCCAAACAGAAATCAACATAAGAATCTACGATAAACGAATATTGTTAATGTTCTTCAAGCAAACAATTAGTGGTTAGAAAAATGCAGATTCTGCTAATAAAGATGAAACTCGAGAACAAGGGAAACGTGAAAAGATGTCGCAAATGACAAAGAAGTATAACATATTGATCTCATTTATTGATGTTGGAAAGAAATGCCGTAACAAGAAAAAAAAATATAAATAAAATAAAAAAAGGTGCAGATATACCGTAGGAGAAGAAAAGCCATATCTTTCCATGAACATATCGTTCTGCTCTCCAAGCAAGTAATTGATAGTCATCTGCAAATTTTAAAAGTGGAGCGTTACATGCAATAGAAAAACAAAAACTGTAATACTCAAAAGCATACAAAAGAACACCCTGAATTTGCACCTATCATGAAAATGATTCAAAATAGTTCTATAAATTTTATATTTATTTCTGATCAGTATATCTAAATACACACGCACACATACACTTTACTATTTGAATTATTTAGGCTTAATTCATCATAATGTTAAAGTTCGCGAACTAATACTACTTATTACATAACAATCTTACTATTCATCCTATACCTTGTTTAACTTAACAGAACATGCAGCGGCTGATTGAAGAATTAGACGGCAGTGATGGTTTTAGTATTGAATTCTATAATACTTATATTAGTTGTTTATAATAACACCAAAAATGTAAAGAGCTAAAACACTATATTTTTCATTTCCCTTTCCATCCCGTAACTCACCTGCTAACTAAGAGAACAGGGCATGAGCTGGCCTTTTGGGAAGAAGAAAGTTTGGTCTGATACGGTAATTTGGATTTTTGTGATTTTCTGGCATATAGATCAAGCTTCAAGGTTGGCCAACATTAGGTAATTAATGAGAAGAAATTATTTTGACATAGAAGAGCATTTTGATGTTATTTTTTATTTGAAATTTGAAATGGTAAGTTAAGAAAATTTATATAATATGTAAATTTTATGTTTCTTAGATTGTATACATGAGCTTGAGGTTTAGAGTGGCCGGTCAAAAAAACTACCCAGTTTTTAGTTTAGAGTTCTTATTAGAGATTTAATCTTCAGTTGAGGAAGCAAATACTTTAGTTTTATGCATACGAATTCTTATAAATAGTTTAGAATTTTATGTAATTATGTACCGTTTAGTTCCTTGTATTACAAAAGTACATGTTTTATGCCCTATCATTTATGATTAAATGATTGCACATGGAGTCTACAGAATTATCAAATTAGTTCCTAGATTCTTTAAATTTGAGCCTATTTTAGCCCATTGTAAGAAAGAGTAGGACTAAATATGTATTTTTATAAACTGTAGGATAAAGAGTCAGCAGACTATTTTGACATTTCTCAATTCTAAACTGTGAAAACTGTGCAAGGTTCGTGTTTTAAGAATTGGTATTCTATGATGTAAAATGCAACGAGCTTAAGAAAAATCATGTAATGTTAGATAGTTTATCAATATTTATGTTATGGAGCAAAAGGTAAACGTGATGGGAGGAAAAAAGAATTCTCAATGTCTAAATAATAATTTGAAGTGAGTTAAATAGTAATAATGTTGGATTTTATCAGTACTCTATTAAACCTGTAACAATAGCCGATGAGTTGGCTGATGTCTTTAGGATGATGATATGATAGTGTAAGACTAATTCAATTGATTACCTTATGATGACAAACGATAAAAGTTTTAAACATGTTTATATCCCTTAAAGTAAATGAAATGGTAGTGTCCATAAATTAACTCGGGTTTACCCTAAACTAAAGCTCAATAACCAACCAAATATATTGATAATTTTGCTCATATACACTCAAAATGGGTAAACTAATCCATCTTTGTAACACGACTCAATTTTCTCAAGAATAAACCGATAATTCATCTTAGAAATTATTCTTGACATCAAAGATCATAAATCTTAGTTCAAGTAAAGGACACATGATCACTCTATAATTTAGGTTTACAGTTTAGGTTAACACCTCAAAACACTCACTAAACAAACCAATTCATGTGACAGTTCTAGAATCACATAAGCATTCAATGAAAAAAAGACATTTTGTAGCTAGTCAAATCGTGTCACTCTTTATAAAGAGTTTGATTAATTGTTCATAGGAATGGCCAATTATCATTCAAGCACAATAACGTAACCCAACAGTGTAACTCTTGTAATTTTTCTAAATCCCGAAACGCGGCCCGCCGGTCGACCGTGGGGTTCGACCCACTGTCTGTGTTTAGTTTAAAATGGGTACCGTGGTTTTGGATAAATGAGCAAAACATGCAATCCAAACAATACCGCGACATTTTCAAAAACGCCCCCGCACTTATAAGTTGCCCCAAACTGGTCCTAAGTTGTTCAAGATCGAATTCTTGTAATCATATCAAATGATAATAATAACTTTATAATAATAATTATTTATTTTATAGTGCATTTGATGCCTAATTCACTTTTAGAAAATGAGTTCTTATCTTGTGTGTTCTGATTAGCTCTACGTGTATCTCTCTCGCCATGCTTTCCCCTCTCGGATTAATTATAGCTTCAAGCATAACAACAATAAATTTTCTCATAATTCTGGGCAGTAAAACCTATGCCCATTTACTTACAAAAAAATAATTAATCATTTTTCTCAAACATACACAGTAATAAATTGCCTGTCTATTCCTAAAATTGTTTTTTATAGCTACAATCCAATCTGACTTGAAAAGATAAAATATTAATCATACTTATAGTACCCCTCAAAATAATTATATTAATATATATCACCCTAACCTACAATGCTTTATGGCAGAGAATGCTGGCCTATTAAAGAGAAGCATAAAGCTAAGTGTTACTGAGATGAAAATGCTTTGGCGGATGAGTGACTTGACACTTAAAGACAAAATGTGAAACGACTGTACCTGTGAAAGGGTTGGTATAGCTCCAGTGTCAGATAAGATTAAAGAGAGTCTTCTTAGATGGTTTGGACACATCAAAACGTTGATCATTTGATGATCCAGTTAGGAGTGTAGATGTTTTAGATTCGACTTATGTTAAGAAAGGTAGAGGTAGACCTAAAAAGACTAGGACATTTTGTATAAAAAAATGATCTTAATTTATTAGAATTAAATAAAAAAATACGAAACTCAATAGGACACAATAGAGAAAAATGATTCATGTAGCTGAACCCACTTAGTGGGTTAAAGGCTTGTTGATGTTGTTGTTGTTGCTGTGCCCTAACCCTACTTAACTCAATAAACTTATCTTTCAACTCCCTATCCAAAATTACCTAAACCTCCATTTTATTATAAACATTTTTAGCATTCAATAACTAATAATCTTCCCCAAATATCCTCAGAGCTTTGCAAACAAGAAATATTTATTCCTCCAGTCTTTCTTTATCAACTTTGCTTTTCAAAATCCTCAAATTTGACATAGCAAATCCAATAATTTTAGGCCTAATCAATAATTCCTCACTTTTATAGTGCAATTTTCTTATAAAAGAGTTAAGTATTGGCAATTCACTTGTGGGAAACATCATAGTTAATCCTTGCTTATTTTTCATCAAAATTTATTAAATGGTGCCATGTCACTTGCAAGAAACTACTCAATCAACCCTTGCCCACTCATCATCACAACCGGGTTAGGCTACGTATAGTCACTTAGAATAACATCATGGTAAACACGTAGCTTACTTCTCACCACAAAAGGCAGAGTTTAAAGTAAGAACAAGAAGTTGAGTCATAACAAATCTTGTGATGAAAGCAATGATAAACTTTCCCATTCTGACTGAATATATTGCCTGATGAAATCCCTTTAACTACATATAGAACATGTTACGAGGCTAACCCGAAAAATAAAAATTAAATAATAAATAAAAATAAATAAATAAAGGGTACCTCATCTCCTTTCCTGATGCGCTGCCCTGCATTTATCATTACTTCAAGCATACGATCCTTAAAACGCCAATGAAAGAAACAGTTTGGCTGAAACGAGTGATTCAACATATCTACAATAAAAAATAGAGCAAAAAGTTCAAATAACAAAAAACACGCAAAAAGAAGGATTTAGATTCAAGCAAACCAAAATTTTTAAGTTAAAAATCTGCAATGATCCTACGAACTTATAAAAATAAAGGGCATACATATCACTCAATTCCTATATATTTACATATCTAACACAAAAACTTTACTTTTTTACATCAATGCCACACAAATCTTTCATATCACAACAAAAAATACCATCATTTTAACTTTTAAAAAGTGAAATACACCTTTTTATGCATAGGTAAGGTGGCATGTATGTAAAAATTGAAGTTTCGGTGTTAAATATGTAAACGGTGTTAAATATGTAAATAAAATACATAGGAATTCAATGGTAAAGTAAATTGTCCTAAAAACAATTGTGAAAATGATACATTACCTTCTAAGAAATAACATCCTCACCATCATCATTATCCTAATCCTAACACTAATAAACAGCAGTGCCAATGATCAAGTAAAATAAAGTGTTCAACCCAAGTTTATAGAAACTAGAAAGAACTCGGCAGTCAAATGTGAACAGAGAAACTTGCGTATAAACACCTGAGTCCAAAGCAAAACAAAACCTGAAGAAATGAAAATTTTCTGCAAAATGGGCTAATGAGATGCAAACTCTTAAAGAAAATGCAGATCTAGCAGGAATACTGACAAAGGTACATTTTTGAAATAATTGGCATATTCATGCAGAAGTAAAGGTGCAATAGGAAAGTACATGATACTTAATTTTCTGCAAAATGGTCTAATGAGACGCAAAGTCTTAGAGCAAAGCAGATCTAGCAGGAATATTGACAATGGTACATTTTTGAAATAATTGGCATCTTCATGCAGAAGTAAAGGTGCAATAGGAAAGAACATGATACAACAGTCAACGGGAGCAGTTTGCATGAAATATCTTGTGCGATAAATACCAGATTAAACAAAAAAGAAATTTACATACATACCACACAATTCTTATGCACTGACAAATCTAACAACTAAAATTTGATACTTAAATTTATAACACTTCAGTATTAAAACCTATGCATGAAAAGGTATATTTCACATTTAAAAAGTTAGTGATAGTGGTATTTTAAATGTGATATCAAAGATTTGAGTGTTATGCATGTATGTATGAAAGTTTAGGTGGTAAAAATGAAACTAAATAAGAATGTGGTATGTATGTAAATGTCCCTAAGAAAAAACAAGTATGTAACAGACTATTTTTTAACTGAAAACTAATGTTACAAAGGGAACCACACAGAAATTAATGAATAAATAGCCATCAATTAATTTACATAGCAAACAGTGGAAGTGCAAATAAATTGGGAAGAACTTACCAGCATAAGGAACGAGCATGTTTGTACTCTGCACAAGTGCACCAATTCTTATTTTCATGGAAATAGAGCGTGACTGAGCAATACTTAATGCCCAAAGAAATCTTTCAGGGTCTCTGGATAGGCGCTTTATCTTTAATGGAGCAGCATAATGCTAGCGGAGATGCAAGAAGAAACTGACAGGTTTAATAAGCAATTAAGAAATATACTACTAAGAAAAACATAAATGTGTGTATGTGTATGTATATATATGAATGTATACATACTACTCAACCTTCTTCAAATGGCATCATACCCAATTCTTTTCCCAAAAGTCTATCGCCCGTTTATGCTGTTGTTCCATTTTGGAAGCGAGTACCGGATCCTGTAGCTCCAGAAGATCTTCCTAGACAATACAAAGTTTTGATTATGCATTGAATTCTATTTGAAATGATAGATTGGGAATGTCATAAACAAAGGCCAAAACAACCCCTAAATAAGATTATTTGCTCACCTGGGAAAAAAAAATCTACCTCCAACAAAAATAATTATTATAAAAATGGATGATACTTACACGTAGCTAATGTTATACTGGAGAGCATTTTCTGTAATGAAATTATCAAGCGTCAATTATGGAGTAAAATTTATGAGTTGCTCAATGATTACTTAATACCTTAAACTGAGAAATAAATGTTTGACTTAATTTCTAATAAAAATTACTATGGAATATTATCAAAATATGCAAAATTTGTTCAGCATTTTGTATTCATAGATCATAATAAAATACAAGTCATTGTTTTGAATTACGCATTATCTTTTTTTAATATAATTTTATTTATATAATAAATTTGCCCACCCTTAAAATAAAAGTTGGTTTCATCCCTGGTCATAAAGAGTAAAATATGTTAGGAAATGCAACGTTGACTCAGGAAAAGGAGTTATGAGACTAAATATCATTAGTCAATTAAATTCTATTAGAAATGATTTCATGTCTATCAAGCATTCATGTTGTGCTGAAAACAAACCTTCTCAGCTAGAAGCAAACTAGTGCATTCATCTGCACTAGGTAAAAAGTCGCCATAAAGCTGCCAAAAGTTTCCTTCCACATCAAAAGCAAACAACAGTAGACAGGCTAGCCTCAGATCCCAGTCTGTCTGAAGTGTAAAAAAATAAAATATAAAAAAAAATAACAGGAGAAATATAAATATTTGCCATTCATTTTAAAAGGAAGCTGACTTTAGAAAGAAGCCATGCAAAAACAACATAAATTGAAGGAAATAGCAGAGTTTTGGACGAGGGTGTGAGAAGGGCGCGGGAGTGCTCACCCAAGTTTTAGTGTCTGTACCGACCGGTCCGGCAAGGTGAGAGCCAATTGGCTCCTCCTCTTAGGTATAGCGCGTCCTTTCAGTGGGTCCATTCCTAACTATCTAGGCATATGTACTTGCTCCGTGAGCTTAGAGTTTTCAGTTTTTTTTATGCTCTATCAGAATAGCTGTCGACATCTCATGTGTTCCCTCCTAGGGCTATATCCAAGGACGAGTGATGCCCCAGTTTTATCTCACTTCAAGGTGGTGATTATACTCGACTTGTCCGTCTTCCGTTACCGTCACCTCTTCTCTTTGCTGCAAGGATCCCCGGACAGCTCTCATTGCTGTCTTCTGCAATCGCTCCCTTCTATCCCTGTCGCAACCACCTTCCCTGCCGCCTGCTGCTTTCCCCCACCTCTAGTCAACCCTCCTTCCACCTACAACTTCCAGCAGCCAACCATCCACATCCCTACCGCAGCCACGCTTGCTAACGGCTACCCTCCCACTGCACCCTATTCCACCACCTTCCAAGCTATCCCAGCCTCATTGCTGGCTGCTACTGTCCCATTGGAGGCAACCCGCCTCCAGCCATCCTTCAACTCCGAGTCAACCTCCCAACCTACTACCCCTCCTCCCCAGCCTACTCTCCACCATTCAGCCTTCCTGCTCAGCCGCCACCATCTCACTGCAACCCACTTTCCAAGCCACATAACCGACCGCCACCCTGTGGAATACAATCCTAATTAAGTTGGTTATTTCTCTTTTTCTATGTATTGATTGTAACCGCCTATTGACCTTTTCACCAATAATATTTGCTTCTTCATCGTTCTTTGGGTTAAATCCAATATCAGTATTACTTAAACTTGTGCTGAATCTAAATTTTTTATAGAAGTCTTTTGTTTTGGTCAGGATTATCAATGTAAACATATCAAAAGAACGAGGAAAAAGACGCAACAATCCAAACTAGCTTTCAGAAAGTTTAAAGGGGCATTTACTTACACACCACATAATTCTCATGTATTTACATATCTAACAATTAAACTTTCATACTTACATGCACACCACTCAAATCTTTAACATCACATCAAAAATACCACCATTACTACCTTTTTAAAAGTAAAATACACCTTTTCAAGCATATGTTTATGAAACCAAGGTGTTATAAGTGTAAATATCAAACAGTGGGAGTTTGGTATGTAAATACATGAGAATTGTGTGGTATGCATAAATTTCCCAAGTTTAAAATGCACTTGCTAATAGCACAAAGCAATAGATTTAAGTAATCTATGCCTGCATGGCGATAATGTATGAAATAAAGTCCAAGATTCAGGAAGTAGTGCGATAGTTGAGATATTATCAACAAAATATACACAGCAAGTTTGCTGGTGAAAAAACAAGGAAAAAAAGAATTATGATCTTTTAGAAAGAAGACTGGCAAAAGTTCCTTTACCCCTGGGTCTGTGGAGTTTATAATATCAAATATAGGATGACCAATAGGCACAATATCTGGATTAAACATCCATGGATGCTTTTGACTTATTGTCAGCATCAACTCTAGAGGAATTTCCATAATCATCTGCAAAAGAAATCAATCCATACATGAAACCATTAGAAAGATCAATGAAAAGAGTAGACTAAAATTCAGATATAGGATGACAGATTAGCATACAGGAATAATTTTTCATGTGATTTTTTATATGAATGACAGGGAAATCTACGGATGAACCAAACCAATAACAATGATTTAATGGGGAAATTTAATACGTTGCACACAATTCTTATGTATTTACATATCTCCCACCTAAACCTTCATATTTACAACATAGCACTTTGGTGCTTTAAGCCTATGCATGAAACTGTGAATTTCACTTTTAAAAAGTGGTAATAGTGATAATTTTTATGTTAAATTAAAGATTTTAGTGCTGCGTGTGTAAATATGAAAGTTTAGGAGTGAGATATGTAAATACATAAAAATTGTATGCTATTTATGTAAATGCCCGTAATTTAATATAAGAAACTTCAAGTCTATGGAAAAGAAGTTGGCTGAACAAAATTAAATTATTGAATGAAATACATAGAGAAAGATGCTTCATGACCAAATTAAGGTGTATAATTTGGAATTTTAAACTTCCTAGAATATGTTGATCGACTAATGATGCTATAAATGCGCATAATTTAGCTGCTGCCCGATGGTGTATTCAAGGCTCCATTTACTGTGTGTCAATTCAGAAAAGAGTAAAAAAATATTGAAAACAACCACTAATTAGTTTCCTAAGGCTATGTAGATGATGAATTGATTTGATGCTAATTTGATGATAAGCCCTGACTATATTCACCTTCCTTGATCTTTTGAATGCCTATGATTTTCATAAATATTTGAACTTCAACAAACAAAATAAATAATACTTGGTGAAATAATGCCAATTTTGATTTCATTGATGACTAATAATAGGATTATATATTCAAATCATCAGCACCAGACATACAATGAATTTGACGCCATTAAAGCTAGACCTCCAGTATACGTTTTCGAGGTCTAACAAACCCTTAAACATTAGCTTTTACCATCCAGAATCGGAGGCAGATAACATAATATTATACGCAATCATGGCAGATGAAATTAAAAAAAAACAAACTGTAAACCGCACTCTTGCTCTGCGCAGAGGCTCTACGTCTCGAGAAGCGTACACACCGAACCCATTCGGCCCTTCCATGAAATCGATCCCATATGCCCGAACACACCGCGCGTACCCTATCTTGTAGAAATCTGGATCCGCGGGTTCCAACTGACAAACAAAACATTGAAACAATATGAAATTCTCGGGAAAATGTAGGGAACAGGGTTTGGATCGATGAAATAAGACAAACTCACATCTGAAGGAATCGGCGATTCATCAGCCCGCGGAGGCTCAAACAGCTTGAACGGAGGCAGCAAGGTGGAAGCACTGACCGGGGGTATTTCCGTCCTGCTGATCTTAACTGGAGGAGAATAGCGAGTAGGGTTCTGAGTTCTTGGCTGCGAGAGGGGCATAGAATGAGTAGATAAACAAGTGTGAGGAGGAAGCTTGCATGCGCATAGGTATTGAATCTACCTTTGGGCTGGAGAAGATAAGAGAGGAGTGGAGAGGAAGCGCGAGGGAAGAAGCCATGGGACAGCAAAACGTTATCCGACTTCAGTTGAATTTTTTCTGTTTATATATATATATATTATATATATATATATATATATATATATATATATATATATATATATATGCACATTTTATCTATGTATGAAAAAATATATTTAATTTTTCGAAAAAAGTTAAAAATTTGGCACTCTAATGTATTATTAATATTTCAATTTGTTTTAACTTCTTACAACTTCATAGCATCCCTTATTCAAACTCCTAGGAATTTGTATATAAAACCTTTAAGTTTTTATATTTATGTAACATCACAACCCTTACACCATATAAAAATATAATTAAAACTAACATATAAAAAATTATTTGCATACCACCAAATTCTCATACATTTACATACTTAGTATTTTTGTATTACTCATATAACAATTAAGCGAAAAAATAATATCATAAAAAAGTATAATTTATTTTAAATAATTTAATATTAATAATATTTTTTCCCCTTAGCTTAGAGATTTATTATCATGTTAATATATTCAAAATATTGAATATTTCATTTTAACAGTCAAAATTTTAAATTTCACATTTTAAAATTTTTTATTATTACAATCAACCTCCTTTACCGACTAATGAAAATTTTAAATGAAAATTTGGATAGTTAAAATATTATATTTAAAATCTTTAAGGACTGAAGTGTTATATTTAAAATTTACATGTTAAAAATGAAATATTCAATATTTATATAAAAGCCCCTAAAAAATAGATTTTAGATCTATAAATGTATAAGAACTTCATGCCGTATGTAACCCCACAATTTAATTTATCCGATAAACAAAACACATAATTATTCCTTCACGCATCATCGGTAGTTTACAAAGAGATTACAAGGGGTTACAGTGGGATATAACAAGATATAACCCCTTACCTCTTAATAACGGAAAAAATTTGCTTGCGATAGACTTACGCAGCGTTACGTACGGTATTGAGGTTATACCGATGGTACAAGGGGTTATATCCGACGTGTAACCCTATGTAAACTCTCTGTAACATTCTGTAACTTATCTGTCACCTATTAATAAATTCTAATATATAATAACAGAAATCCAAAACTTATTTTATATTATAGATAAATTATAAAAGATTACATAGAGGTTACAAGAAACTATATCATGGATGTAATCCCTTAATCAAATTATACTTCTTAATAAACCCGAAAGTAGGCAAATATTTTCCTGTGCAAAACCCACGAAAATCTCTCCACTGCCAAAGAAGAAAAAAAAAAAAAATGCGATCTTTGGTGCGATCGCGATCTCTCTCGCCATGCCTGTCTACTTTCTTCACGAAACTCTCCTACCTTCTCCTCCCCACCACCTTCTCCACCACGACATCCTCTCCTCTTCCTCCTTCCCCTCCCGAATCCAACACTATCCTGTCCGATCAGGAGCTCTCCGACATCCACCACCTCCTCCCCGCTCTCTGCGACGCCGGTCACCCCCTGGAGGCCGTTCGCCTCCTCGATGCCGCTTTACTCGCCAACCCTCCACTCTCATCCCTCCCCCTTCCAGAGCTCGCCGACCGCCTCTCCAACCTTCCCGACATGTCCGCTTGCATGGCGCTACTCACCTCTCTCCGCTTCCACCCACACCGCCCTTCTCCTCTCCCATTCTGTGCCCTCTTCATCTCCTCCTATTTCCGTCGCCAACGCCTTCGAGAGGCCGCTAAGGTCTTTGCCTGGCTTTGTCGGGCAGATTCCCCTTGCAGACCAGATACGGAGGTTTGTCGAATAGCTGTTCGGGGTTTTTGCGAGGGAGGAAGGGCGATTGAGGCGGTTAGGGTTGTGAGAGAGATGGCGAGAGAAGGGGTGTTGCCAACGGAGGAAATTAGGATTTTGTTGTGTCTGGCGTTGTTGAGGGAGGCGAGGGTTCAGGAGGGGTTGAATTTTGATGATGCAGTAAGGAAGGTTGGGGAGGGAAAAAACAATAATGGAGATGGGATTGCTGGGATTACAGAATTGCTTGATCGGATGATTAAGGATTGGGAGGATTAGCGCTTCATTAAGGTAAATTTTTCTTGTTTTGATTGATTTGGCTGTTGTTAGGATTGGGTTCTAGTAATCAAATATTAGATTTAATCATAGTTTATTTAACCAAATTGAGCTTATCATGGCATGATTACATCTTGTTTAGCTGACATATAATTGTATTTAATCACATTTGAATTAATGGGAAAAAAAAACATTTGATTTGAATGTAAACTGGTTTGATTTCATATTATTTCACTTCAAGCATGTAAAATCTTATGGCTATTATCAATGGAAATAATTTAACAAGCATATATGATATTACCGAAGATAAAGATTGATGCTCGGAAACTTTACATACCTAGCACACAATTCTTATTTATTTACGTATCTCACACTTAAATATTCATATTTACACACACAACACTTTGGTGCTTTAAACCTATGCATGAAAATGTGTATTTCACATTTTAAAAAGTCGCAATAGTACTATTTTTTATTTGATTTTTAAGATTTGAGGGATATGTTTGTAAATATGAAAGTTTTGGTATGGATATGTAAATATGTAATGTAATATTAAAGATTTGAGGGCTATGATATTATTGAAAACAGTATAAAGCATTGATATTTGCCACTAAGTGGGGTCGGCTACATGAATTGTTTTTCTCCATTGAGTCCTATTGAGTGTCATTTTTTCATTTAATTCTAATAGATTAAGATTATTTTTAACACAACATACCGAAGTCGTTTTAGGGCTACCTCCACCTTTCTTAACATAAGTTGAACCTAAAACAACTAATCTCCAACCTGATCATCAAATGGTCAACATTTAATGCGACCAAACCATCTATGATGACTCTCGCTAATCTTGTTTGCCATCGAAGCTACACCAACCTTTTACGAATGCATTCATTTCGCATTTTGTCTCTAAGTCTCCATCACTCAACCACTTAAACATTCTCTTCTCAACAAAACTTAACTTAGTTTTATGCTTCTCTTTTATAGGCCAACAATCTACACCATAAAGCATTGTAGGTTTCACCATCATCTTATAAAATTTTCTTTTAAGTCTAAGCGATAGTTTTCTATCACACAATAGGCCAAATTCATTCCTCCACTCCAACCATCCAACTTGAATTTTACTAATAACATCCCCATCTATATCACCATTACATTGAACAAAACGGCAAAAAAAAAAAAAAAAAAAAAAGTCATAAACTAAAAAAGCGAACAATATTAATTACATAAAAAAAAAGAATCCCGGCTTGAGATTGGAGTATATTCATGTGTCTTGGGCCTCAAATACTTGTACTTATTTCAAGTGTAATAAAAAGAAGGAAATAGAATGATGATTAAAGCCAAAATTTTTGCAAGAAAATCAGAATAAAATTGACACAAATAGGCAATATTATGTATTACTTATAATCACGATGCAATTACTTAGTGATTTCGTCTTTATGCTCAATCACTGTCTTTAATTCTTTCCCACAAAACGATTGACATCCATGTTAATATTTTCATCAAGTTGCTGTCGTACTACATGCTCTTGCAGTTGGTGTACAAAATTTACATCATCATCACGTTCCTCAAACCTAGGATCAATGTGCGATATGGATTTCAAAATGTATATTTATGTGGTGATATTTTGGCAAAAATAATGACATTTCTTGCTAGCATAATTTGTTATGTCCCTTCAATTATCCCTTTTCTTTCATATAATAAATGTAGGTTTGATCACACTTTGATTTGACTGACTTATTGTGCAAAATTTTGTTTATGATATATCTAAATAAGGTTTAAGTGACCCCCTTTATATACTAACATTATTTATGTGAAACTTTCTCGAATTGGTAAATGATAACATCCAAACATATTATAAATAAAACTATAGAAATATAATATTTTTTTCAATCTATCTAACATACTGGATGCATACATAGAAATATTGTGTCCATATTCGTAATAACATGTTGGAAAATGCAAGCTTCATTTGTTCTGCTCTTCCATCTCGGAACAACTAGTTTGAAGCACATGTTGAAGTTGCATGCAAACATTACTTTTTTTGAATTGGGAAATGATGTTGTCTAATGTATTCAACTTGTTTTTCAACAATAATGTGGGCATCATCCATGCGCCATAACTTGCCCTCATACAATCCTTCAAGCTAACATTTAATGGTCTTCACGGAGAAATCTTTGATGGGCTGTCGCAAAATTGTTTATTAGGTAGATGGGCTGTCGCAAAATTGTTTATTAGGTAGGGTTATAACATCAATTTCTAAGCAAACTAATATTTCATGAGCATTAGACAAATATATCTTAATTATCTCTATAGAGTTTTAAAACTCGATTTTCATAGGTAGCTCTTATGGACTCATTATGTGTCATGTTGTATAAGGTGATGATTATCACTTCTTTAGTAGTAATTCTCCCTGAACAAAGAAATTTGTAATTTGATTTAAGCAATCTGAGTAAATCCATAGAAAAAATTATTTTGATATTCTTAATACTTTAAAAAAGCTCTTTCTTGATTAATTTGGAACAGGTCTAGTAAATCAAATTATTGATCTTAGGTAGTATATAAATAAGAGAAAAAAAAATAATAGGATTTCTTGATAATAGCTCACCTACTTATCTCCAATATTAGTTGATACATTGCATGGCCTTTTGTTGAAGTATAAAACACAATAAGCATTGACCAAGATTATTGCTATTGATATATTATTAAATTGACAAGACTCACTTGATCAATAATTGGCTCCATTTCCATTTCAGAATCATCATTATAATCCTTGGTCATTTTCAAATTGCTATAATATAAATGAGACGATAAAAAAATTCATTCAATTGGAATTAAATATAAAATATAAATGTTCATAAAGATAAAACAAAGGAGCATTTACATACATAACACAATTTTTATGTGTTTACATATCTTACACGTGAACTTTTATATTTGGACACATATCACTAAAATCCTTCATATCACATAAAAATAGAACACTATTACCACTTTTTAAAAGTGGAAACCACCTTTTCATGCACAGGCTTAAAGCACCAAAATGCTATGTATGTATATATCGAAGTCTAGGTGTGAGATATGTAAATACATAAGAATTGTGTGCTGCTTATTTAAATTTCCCTATGAACTATTACATAATTTCATGAGAGTTCAATGCATACAATACAAATAAGGAAATGACAAAATTCTAGATACCCTAGAATCTAGCCCTAAGATTTTCCTATTTTGACTCTCTTAGAGGACTAGATTGGGACCCAAACCCCTTATAAACTCAAGTCATTTCTTCACTCCTTGCAGTTTCATATGTACAGTTTCAAATCCTCAATATTTGATTGGGTCGATTGAAAAAACCGACATATTGAAACTCAAATTAAGCTCCTATAGAAATTTGAAAGACATAGGTGGATCCCGTGACGTACGTGACATTTGACTTGCCACTGCGAGCTATGTGTTTGACTATGGTTGTCATTTAGGTGAGGACCGGTCATCAATTCGCTCGTTAAACGACTCCGATCAGGTCAAAATAATTTCATTTGACGCGCCGTACGTGAATTGAAGTTAACTTGGCGCGATCGTCGACGAATTTGTCTGAATGATTCCGGACGATGAATCGCGTTCAAACAAATAAATAATAATAATATTACTATTATTATTTTTTAAAATAAAAAAAGTTTTTTTTTTCTCTAAACCCTCGGGCACTATTCCCCTTCCCTGCCCGCGCCTGTATTTTTCTTTTGCCCTAGCCGAAGATCCTTCCCTCCTCTCTTGACCGAATCTTGGAGATCCCTTGCCGGTCTTCCTGTCATCTCCTCGATTTCAGAGCTCTCGTCGCCGATAGCTTCTCCGGTAGCCCATTTATAACAGTTTTTCCCGCTCGAATGGATCTGGTAACCCCTATTTTGAATCTTGATGAATTTCTTTGCCCTTCGAGGTGTTTCTCGTTACCTCCCTTTTTTTTACCGTCAATGAGCCCCGACCCTCTCGATGGCTCTAAATACCCCATGGGAGGGGAAGATTTGTGCGATTTTTTTCCTTTGGAGATTTTGGAGAAACACAGTGTTGATAGCTCTTTCTCTGTTGAAAGTTTCTGTTCCAGGATTTTCTTACTTTTCTCGTTCTGGTATTAGCAAGGAGTTAAGGTTAGGCTTTATTTATTTCGAGAATGCTGTTTAATCTCTGAATTAGTTGTCTATGCGATAATCTCTTCTGAATTATGAAATGGATAGATCAAATGAAATTGAGATATTAGTTTGATTATCTCTTTGGCGGAGAAGTAAAACTTTCTTATGACATCTATTTGGATTTTTTTTTAAACTTACAGCTCTCCTTGTTGCATGGGTTTTTGGAAACTTATAAATTGTTTAGCCTCTGAACCAGAGTTTCTTTTGCTAGAAAGACATATTGAGATCTTAAGAAATATTTGAATTCTTTTAATTATTGTTTTCTCATTGCATTACTTTAGCATGGGGACCCTTGGATTTATTTGATTCATAGGGGATTCTGTTTCAAGCTCCTTGGTTGGGCATTCGGTTTTACTTCTTCTTGGTAGTTCGGCTTAGCCCTTATGCTGGTATTTAAATTTCCCTATGAACTATTACATAATTTCATGAGAGTTCAATGCATACAATACAAATAAGGAAATGACAAAATAGAAAGAATCACATAATAAATTGATCATTCATAACACTTAAAACAAAATTTTTATCACTTGAATAATTTTATGCAAAAAGAGTTCAATGTAGATCTTATCGATAGATTGTCGGTAAGTAGTGCTCTCCATGAATAGCCTTCATTTATAATCATTAGATACACCTCTAACCATATCAAATAGGGGAATCCGTCGGTCATCATGCAAACTTGCAGATCAAACGGAAGTCATTTATTTCCATAGTTTATTTAATTGAGCTTATTATCAAGTAGTGTATTACCGTTCAGGGTGGTACATTACTCGTGGTTAGCTCAATTATCCAAACTGTAGGAATCAATGGGATCAGTTTGACCCCATTTTCTTTAAATTAAAATACATAATTTCTAAACACTATATTACGCTAAATTAAACCACACTCAGCCATATGGCGACCGACATAAATATCCTTGCCTTTGTCTTAATTCAAAGGGTATTACTCTAAAGCTAAGAACTCAAAACATTCTCTTAGTTGTTATTGTACAAGAAAACAACCTATCAAAATTTTCTTTTGGTTATCTTGTATACTATGAGGCTTTTCATCTTAGTTTTTTTTAATATCATGAAATGAATCTCCTTGTCTTTCTCTTAATTCAATGGGTATTACTCTAAAGCAAATCTATGTTGGAAAGATGAATATTGATTAAATTTTATTAAACTATTGATTACCACATTGTTTATTAACTTAATTGTGGGTGTTTATACCATTTTTAAACAGAATCTTCACAAACAAGGCTCGTGGGTTGAACTAAGCTGCATAAATGTTGATTATACTGAATGCGTACTATTTGGTACATAAAATTAATCCGATCTGTATTCTCTAATAAATCAAGCATTTCTAATAATAGAGAATCATGAAATGAATATCCTTGCCTTTGTCTTAATTCAAATCCTATCAAGTTTTTCTTTTGGTTATCTTGTATACTATGAGGCTTTTCATCTTAGTTTTTTTAATATCATGAAATGAATCTCCTTGTCTTTCTCTTAATTCAATGGGTACTACTCTAAAGCTAATCTATGTTGGAAAGATGAATATTGATTAAATTTTATTAAACTATTGATTACCACATTGTTTATTAACTTAATTGTGGGTGTTTATACCATTTTTAAACAGAGTCTTGGCAAACAAGGCTCATGGGTTGAACTAAGCTGCATAAATCTTGATTATACTGAATGCGCATTATTCGGTACATAAAATTAATCCAATCTATATTCTCTAATAAATCAAGCATTTCTAATAATAGAGATAACTAACCATAAAATACACTTTTAGCCGGCATACATTGATTACAGCTGTTTTTGGGGAATGTTTTTTAGATTACTGAGGTGCTCTTTTGGGATGGATTTAAAGCTTATGAAGAAATCTAAATTGAAACCTGAAATCTCTTTAAATATTTTAATACTAAAAATTCTCATAATTTCTCCTTGCATAATCTTTATTTCGCAAAATTCATAAAGAGTGTGCAATTCTTCGTTAAGTGTTAAATATTTATCAAAGCTTGAGAGACAAACATGCACATCATATTGCAATTTTTGTTTATTTATGATACACACACAGAGTATTTTCAGTTTTGTTCTTTTACTATTTCTTGCTCTAGTTCTTGTAAAAAAAACTTTGAAGACGTGATTTTTGTTTTGCACATTTTGGTGTACTTGAATGTGTTTATGATGGTTTCCCTTAATGGGAGATAATGTGATCGAGGCTTGCTATTCGTCCGATCAATCGTTCTTTTTCCTTTGCTTTTTGTGTAGAAGTCTTCTTTAGGACAATCTTTATCTTGATTTGGTTCAATGCCAACATAGGGATATAATTATCTTGTTTGGTTGAGGAAGCACATTTTTTTGGGTTTAAATGCACGTTGAACGATCGCAAAATTTATTAAGTTTATGAAAGGTCTGAGTGGTGTTCTTTAAGTGTTTTGCTCTTTACATGATCATCAATGTAAATCTTTATTTATTTTTGAAGCTGAAAACATTGCTTATATTTGCCATCCTGTGAACGGCACCGGCCTTGTAGAACAAGTTACCTAATTGGTGCTTAAGGCTTTTCCATTGCTGGGTAAGTTCACAATGAAGTTCCCAACTGTCGAATCAACTAAGGTGTGCTTGCGGGTTGGGATAGCCATACATCCATATCATTTTGATGCTTTAAACATATGTATGAAAATGTGTAATTCAGTTTTTAAAGATGATAATAGTATTGTTTTTTATGTGATATTAGAGATTTGAGTGTTATGTGTGTAAATGTTAAAATTTAGATGTGAGATATATGTAAATACATAAGAATTGTGTGATATGTATGTAAATGCCTTGAATTTTTAAGAATGAATTGATTTGCGTAGTTTGCATATGATTATATCAGATGCTGTTACTGCTGCCACACCTCATAATGCTTTGGATTGATCACATTTTGTACAGTTGATTGCCATTGTTTGGCATAGGTGATTCGACGATATTACGCTAGTATATTTTGGATTGAACGAGGTTGCTCGTGACCCTCATGACTCCTTAGAGGGGCAGAGAACTTGATTGCGAAATGATATGTTGAAACCACTGCTCAGAAAACATTCAAAAGAGGTACTTTACAGGTTGATGGCTTCGTTTGAGGAGGTGGTGAAGTCCTGTTCGGTTGGAGCGAACGTCCGTCTCTACAAAAAAGTTTCATTTGGGAAAATAGCAGGAGAGGAACGTCTCCCGAAGTTCTTTCAACAGAAATGGCAAATTTTTGCCCTTTCAGATCGCTGCTCGTCTCCTTCAGTTCGACGAATGCAATTGTTAAAAGAAATTTGGTGAATGTCCCATCTGTTTCAAACGAAGCCTTAGTTTCTTAAACTAATGGTAGGGATTGTCCCCTTAAAGTACTATTAATGTGACCGTAAACCTCTTTAGTGTTCAGATGTCACCTGAGAACCTAAGTAGCCAGCCATTCAAGACCCTAAGATTCTTCATGTGGTCTCTTAGTTGTTCCAATGCATGGCAGAAGTAGGTGACAGTTTAACTTCTGAAATTAATGGGGATTTCTTGAATGTAAAATTGAAATTTGGGGGTTAGATATGTAAATAGATATAAATCTTCCAAAAAAAAAAAAAAAAACTTATTGTCACTTTATTGCTTAATTATTTTATTTTCTTATAGGCTCATTCTGATTCAATAGAATGTTATAATTATGTCAGATTCATTATTAATACACTCATTCAACATAGTTTTATCAAATGATCAAGCATTTTATTGATAACATAACACATTATAACAAAAAGGGGTATTTACATACATACCGAATAATTCTCATGTACTTACCTATCTAACACCCTAAGCATTCATATTTACACCAATATATTACAACTGTTAATGTGAAATGTTGGGTATTAGATATGTAAATACATTAGAATAGAGTGGTCTGTATGTAAATGTCCCTAACCAAAGAAAAAAAAAAGACAGCATCAAATAGTGCCTTAAGAGTGCACTTGTTGAGAAAGCTGTGAATGTCTGGAAACCGCAGGAGTAAATTTTTTTCTTACATTTGGTTCACATATTCTGTTTTGAGGTACAATATCATGTGCTGTACATATTTATTATTTATTTAGCACTCTTCCCCTCTGTTAATCCCGTTAATGTTTTTCTGTGTAGTTCATCAATGATGAATAAGATCTCTCTAGGGCAAGGCCGTCGATGCGACTGGCGACGTGTGGAAGTTTTGAAATCCCTGATGAAGAACAAAAAAAAAAAAATTTGAGATGTTATCTCGCCATTTTCGGGACCACGGAAGCAAGTTTGTAACCCTTGATTGATCAAGAAGAGTTGAGGAAGTTGCAATGCAGGGAGAAGGGCAGAGGGGAAGTTGATGGGACAATGATATTTTTGTTGTTAATTAAAGCAAATTGAATGCTATGTGCGTTTCTGTTTTGTTTATTAGAACTTTAGTGTGGCCTTGTGGGTCCAAAGGCAGCTTCTTTGACTTGGGGCCTAGGACTAGTGTCTTGTGTTGTGTAAAGCTATTGAGAATTTTCTAATAAATTGGATAATTTATAAAAATGGGCATGATAATTTGGAGAGTTAGATGATGGACCACGAATTTTGCCACCAAGGACAAAGTATGAGGGCTTAATAATTTGGCGAGAGCATTGTTAGAAATTGCAATAATAGAGCTAACTTAGTATAAAACATGGCTATGATGTGAATAAGGTGTTGTAGTTAAGAATGTAGTATGAAAACATGCAGTAGGAATAGAAAAGACATCAATTAAAATGGGTGAGATTTGAGTAACATGCTTGTATTTGGTGAGGAGTCCAACAAACAAGTCATCATGATTGAAAGAAAACTTGGATGATGGACCTGAATAGATCTAGACTGCAAAAACAAGGTGGTCGGATCTAGATGGGTTAAGGCAAAGACAACCAAATATGTGTAAGAGCATATACGAGAAGTGTGGGTTGGAGGTGTTCATTAGATCGATGAGAGTTGAGGTCTTGGCATGCATGTTAGGGTTGGCGATGATGTGGGATAGAGTTAGATATGGTCAGCATGGCCTAGAGGATGCTAACAATGGAAATGGGCTCGATGAGGGACTAAGGGGTAGCATCTTAGATTAGTGCAATGGGATCACAAGTAGTGTGTGCGTATGTGATGCTAAAGCTTTGTGTATAAAGAGAAATATCACACGCAAAGAAACATGACAAAAGTTATTAGAGGGCCACTAAAAAATGAGCCTAGAAAGCATATAAATACAATATAATCTATACTAAGGAAGAACAAGATCTATTATTGCAGTCTAACAAGTCTTAATAAATAAGCTTTTAAAAGCCACAACATATGTAACATTGCATAATCAATTAAATACTTGGGAAATAATGTGTATATTTACTTTTTTTCTTACCCCCATGATATTACTTATGATCATCCCTTTGCATTACCAATTTCTTATTGGAAGTAGTTCTCCCGCCCTCTTACATTTTAAAAATAATGTGGATATTTACTTTTTTTGACCCCCGTGATATTACTTATGATCATCCTTTTGCATTACCAATTTTTTATTGGAAGTAGTTCTCCCGCCCTCTTACATTTTAACAAATCAAGAAACTTTTTATGTCAATCTTACTACTTTGGTTCATAATATCCAAGAAGACTCAAATCTATTCACAACAAAATAGAACACCAACACAAGTCATCTTGGCATAATTAAGGGCAAATGTTCTCAATTTGCATGTTCATTTATTAGATCTAATGAAAATGCTCCATGAGAATTCTAATTTTTACTTACGTGATATAGGCAGGCTGCATCCGAACAGAGGCAGAATTAAGAAAAGGTTTGTATGAAGTGCTCTAGAAATGTTGAATCTTTTTCCAAGTCTCTTAAATTGTATGATACATCTAAGTATAAGAAAATATAGTATGGCCAAATTTGCCCTCTTTGTCATCTTATGATTGATTTGATGACCTATTTTTATAATTATATTTTTAATTAATGATAATTCTTGTGTTTTTTTAATAGTTATGCAATTCAAAAGGAGAAATAAGAAGACATTTTCGTCCTAAAGTATGTCTTATGTTGGACACTTCTAGAATTTAACTTCTTCGCATTTCTATTGTTTGGGCTCTTCCTCTTGACAAAAACCCCTAACAAAAAGAAAATTTAAAATGCTTTTATTTAGAGGTGTCAATTTTGGGTTGATGGCCTGTTAAATTTGGATCTAACCCATAGTTAACTTGATTTAAATATGTTTTGACCTGAATTCGACCCATTCATCATAAGGGTCAAAATATTTGACTTAATGAGAATCTTGTTTTTCCAACGGAATCAAGCAAATTTTAGCTATTATATCAGATTTGAGCTTGATCCAAATAGTCGTCAGGTTAATCAAAATCCAAATTTTCTTGGCTATGTTTGAGTCAAATTATTAGATCATGTAATCTACTGATGGCCGTCCTCCTATTCTATTCGAGCAAAAAATGCTACCTTGTTTAGTCAATATATATTTTTGACGGGACTTATGTGTGCAATGTCATTTATACATAAATTTTCACATACGAGGAAATGATGGGCCAACATATAACATCATTTTATCATATACATTCCAGGGATAGTTGGATTTTAGTGAAACACAAAGAGGCTAAAATCATGACCCTACCGCCACAAATCTTCTGACACGCATTAGTTTCAAAAATACATTAAGATAGAGTGAGTGAAAATAGCATTTGTCATTTAAAGGTAACAAGCTCACCTTAATTGCTCTTGATCTCACTATTTTCTTGCAGCATCCTCCTCTTCTATATATGCCCCTTAATCAATATTTTCATGCAAACTCTCCCCATTTCCCAGGAAAAATTAAGCTCAGATTATTCTTAGCCAAATGAAAAACATAATAATATGTCCATTTATGTTCTGATGATTCTATCCCAATTTTCATAGTTCTTTTCTTCCTCTGTTGATAATGCACAAAAAGATGAATGAATGAGAGCACATCTCCCGCCGTGTATACAAAATACACATTTCTTAGGCACATGTGCATTATATTTCTTTCCGGATGATGGACCGGATGAGAACACATCTCCCGCCGTGTAGGGTTGTTAAAGATCCCATTTCGAGCCGATCCCAATGCTCCAGATCGGCTAAAAAAATCCGATAAAAAAATTTGGCTTACAGCTCGGCTCGTTTATTTCAATATGTTCTCAATCCAAATTGAAATTCGAATAAATTTTCGAGCAATTAACGATCTTCGAGCTAAATTCACAGTCGTATCATAATTAGGGTTATTAATGATCCAATTTCGAGCCGAGCTGGGGTCAGCTAAAAAAAAACTCGATCCAAAATATTAACTCATAGCTCGGCTTTTATTTTGATCTAAACCAAATTGCGAATCGATCAGTTATTGATCTTCAAGCTAAATTCACAGTCCTACTGTCATGTGCATGACGGCCCACCCGAACTGTTAATATGACTCCTATATGTATGATTGTTTATGCAATATTGATGGAAGAAGAAGAAAAAAAAGACACTCATAGAAACTATTGTTTAAGCAACACACTTGGAAGAGAGATAAGATATCTAGAGAGAGAGAATCCAAGACCGTAATTTCACCATAAAGAAGCGAAGCTTCCCCTTCTAAGCCCCATGATCTCTCTCTCTCTCTCTCTCTCTCTCTCTTGCCCCATGATCTCTCTCTCTCTCTCTCATCAATGGTACTTTCTTATCCCGAATCCTTCTCTTTTTCACTTTCCCAAAGCCCAACGCTCTCGGCCCGGCCCGGCCCGGCCCATCCAGCGACCAACTTTCAGAATCCAATGCATGCAGCTTTCTTTCTGCCCCAACATGATTATGATTTCTTGTAGCAGGAAGAACCTTAAATCTCCCCACCAATCTATCTCTTATCCCTCCTTTCCTCCCTTTCAAAACACAGAAGCTTCCTTGAGAACTGCAGCTGTGGGTCTCCATTCTCCCCCCTTTCCACTTTCTCTGCATTTCTCTCAGACCAATAAAGTTCAGGGGTATTTGTCTTAAATTTAATTTAATTCAGTCTTTTAATGCAAATAAAATAATATTTCAATGTTTTTCATGTAAATAGCATAGCCTATCTCTATTTCATACAGCTAATTAATTTGCAAAACTTGCAATGATATTAATACTGACATAATCATTGAATGTACATGTGTGTGTGTGTGTGTCTATATATATATATATATATATATATATATATATATAATATAATTTGTATATTGAATATACTATAATATGATAGACATGTGGGTTTAATATTTGACCAAATAAAATTCACATAAAAAAATGACAGTAAAATAATTTATATGTACCAAGGAATATACATATGAAGAACCTCTAGCTATTTAGGTTTTTGTGGCTTTTATTTGACAAACTAACAAATATCCTTGCTATAATATTACTAAAAGGCATAAATGTTAATTTAATATGTTGATAATACAAATTTTTTTGAAAAAATAATATAGATAAGGTAGTTCATATTTATCACATATTGGCCCATAGGAAAGAAAATTAAATATAATAGAACAATTAAAGAATGATGATGCACATTTCAAAATAGAAGCCATACCTAGTTTATCTTTTAATAATGCTAGCTAAGAGTAATGAGTTAGTTCCAAACTCTTATGAGAATAAACATGCATTCATTAGTGAAAAATTAGATTTACACTTATTAATTAAATTATGAGCATGGCTTGTCATCATTTTCGAGCACCCAATTGGTCTGGTGGGACTATTGGTCTAGCTAGACAGAACCACCTAGGGTCATTAACATGAGAAAATATTACGCATGACGACCGTATATGCATTCAACTTAAGATTCCAGCACGCCACTCCTAACAAGTTTATATAGCGGCATGCTCCAATCTCAACTGCAGTACAATAATCAACACTTAAGCGTAACATTTTTTCTATCAACATTATCCCACACTTGTGTAACCCTCCCCATTAAATTTAGATTTAACTCTTTAGACTATATATATATATATATATATGTATATATATAATGTAATTAAATATAAAGTTTTAAAGTGAATGAATAGGACAGTTTTACTCTTTTTCCCCAATAGAATGATTAAATCATAGATTAGCACTTGGATGGAAATAATTATGTTTCAGGCTGCATTGCTAGCCAAAGTGCTTCTTTATCACGTGCTGCCTGCAACTTTCAATGCATGAAAATCCCCATTTACGCTTTCTAAACACAATGTTTTCTTAATTAAATCAAGCCTTTGGCCTTCTCTTACATAATTACGCGCCATCCCACAAACATGGACACAAGATTTATTGACTAAAATTAATATGAAATGATTGTATTTTTGAAGATTTGAGTGCTATAAATGTAAAAATCAATGAAAATACACATTAATTGGGTCTAATTAATATTAATGATAATAAAGCAGGTAAAAAAAAATCAAGTAATTTAATCAATTAATCAATCTGCAGTAGCATTCATGAATGAAGAAAAAATAATTTAATTTATCATATCCATATCATTAATCATAAATGCAACTTTTTTATAATAAATTGAAAAGAAATAGATAATATGTATGTAGAAAAATCCAAGAAAAAAACATACAATAACTTTTTAATAATCTTATTAACAACATAATGAAATACTTTGCATGATTTGCAGTCAATCTATCCACAGTAGGAATATTAGTAATTACATTATAATGAAGGGTTAATAATATAATTATTCTCATTAATACAGAACTATATAGAAATTTTCTTAAATTAAAAATTGATTTTATCATTATCTGACATTACAAGATAATAATAATACCTCAGCAAAAACATCAAGCTTTCAAACCTAAATATATTGAGTTCTCATCATGGCATAAATCTAACTGATCATAATTAGCCTGAAAAAAAAAAAATTCAATCTTGATTCGATTGATCAAAGCTAGCAAGCATTGCTCAGCACAGTTCTCACTCCCAAAAGTCACTTATTTAAACATGATAATCTTCATCATCATATCATATTTTTGCATGCAAAAAGGAAAAAAAAAGAGAGAGAGAGAGTTAATTAAGCTCACCCTATCAGCCATAAGACAAATTCCTTCCTCTGCTTAATCCACTTCCTCTAATCACTGGACTCAACATCTCCTTCGTCAAAACAGGAGCTTTTCTGCATTCCTCACCTGAAACCCTAGGCTTTGCTTCATATACCTCCATCATGGACTCCACATCCAAGCTTCCGTTAATAACAGATGCAGAAATCTCATGCATCTGTTCAGACTTGCAGTTACAATTCTCCTCCTGTCCTGATCCAAACTGATAATCTTCTTCATCACCCCAAATCATAGCACTCTTCCCACTCTGATTAATGCTGTAAAATTCGTGCTGCTTTTTCTTCCCCATGAACATATTATTATTATCATCATTGTTTGATCTGAAAAAAGTGTCATCTTGATCGTTCATGTGATCAAGCTGATTGTTGTTGGTGAAGACATTGAGATCTTGAAAGGAGTGGAAGCTCACGGCCATGGGGGATGTCATCTCCTTCATTAAGTCTATTTGAACGGATCCATGGCCGCTGAAAGCTGCTTTGTAGGCATCTGCTGATGGTTGCAGGTTCTCACATGCAGCTAGGGTTTGGCATGCTTTTTCTAAGATGGATTGCATGTATTTTCCTTGAGCTTCAATTCTCATTTGAAGGCTTTTTTGTACCTAAATTTGTAAATTAGTTAGTAACTATATATAAAGTTGAAAACTTTATGAAATTTGATTTGGTAGATTTGTAAAAAACACTTTTTTTAAAAAATTTTTCTAACCTCTAGTTGTTCATGGAGTCTTCTTTGGACCTCCAGCTGCATCCTGAGTGCTTCTGCTGTCTGTGCGTTTCTGCTGTAAAATTTAAACTTAAACATAAAAGAAAAATAAAAATAAAATATATTTCACGTGAGAATTAAAAGGAGAAATTTTTAGTGTATATATTTCCGTCATTTTTTTTTATATTTTTATGAAATTAATTATAAGAGCTCATTTAATTGCTTGAGCTTATTAAATATACTTAAGAACTCATAATTATACTAAATTATATTACTTTAGAATTCAGTGCTAATTTCATACTTTAAAGCAAGTTCAAATATTCTTAAAAGCAATGCTTTTTTATCTAAAAAAAACATTTTTTTTTAAATATAAATCTTTCTATGTACCCAAAATTATGAGCCTTAACATATTTAGTGTTCTTTGATCCATTTTCTATTATTTAATGAGGTAACATATAATCAATCTAAAAAAACATTTTTTTTAAAAATATAAATCTTTCTATGTACCCGAAATTATGAGCCTTAACATATTTAGTGTTCTTTGAACCATTTTCTATTATTTAATGAGGTAACATATAATCAAAACAACTGCAAATAATTGCTTTTGTTATCATACAAGAAAGTTAAAAAAAAAATAAATTTTTTTAAATATTACTATATATTCTGAGCTAATTATAAGCACCCAAAAAAAAAAAAAAAAAAAAAAAAAAAAAAACCGGGGCAACACCCCCAACTCACTCTGTCATAGTTCGACCCATAGTCCCAGAAGATGATGCACCAATTCTTTGCATATCTAAAGCTGCCCTTGAAATCAAATTTACAAAAATTGCATATTAAACCAATTTACAAGAAAATAAAATAATTAAAAAAAAAAAAAAAAAACTACAAAGCTATATCTAAGCTCTCTCACCATCCTTGGAATGATCGTTGAAATCCTTGTGTGGCTGCTTCCCAAGCCTAAATTTCTGCACATAATTAATCATGCAAAACAAATATAATTAGCTGAAAACCTCAAAGAATTGCAAAAAACTAAAGTTTTGAATTGAAATGAAATAATTTGTTTTGCATGTTGCTTCATAATCTTATAAATATACCTGAAGATGGCTTTTAAGGTGATAGAGTGTAAGACCCTTTACCCCCATAACCCTCATAATTGTCTTCGGTGTGGCCTCTACAAAATCAAACACAGAGAATTTTGTAAGCTAGAAGAAGAAGAAGGTGATGAAGGGAAAGAAGAGTGATTTCCGACGACGGAACTGTCGGGGCCGCCGAGTTGGGTGACGGCATCGACGAAGCGGTCGTGGAGCTCGACGGTCCACCGGAGACGAGGTTTAGGATCGGTCGTAAGGACGAGGCCCGAGTCGCCTTGAACGCATGACAGAGGCCCTTCATGGGAATTCATAGTAGGCTTCTTGGAAGGGAACATTCTCTCTCTCTTATCTTTCTCTCTCTTTCTATCTCTAGTTGCTTATATCTCTCTCTCTAAGCTGCTATAGATTTTTGAAGAGATTCAAGAACAAAGGATGGCATATATGAAGGAATAGGGTGCGTTTTCTTTACAAAGAGATCTGTGGTTTCAGGAGAGCTGAGTTCAGTGGTCTCTCTCTCTCTCTCTCTCTCTCTCT